GTACTCAACCCCCCTTCCCATTCCCCAGGTATCCCCGAGCTTGGCCTCCCTGTCCTGGAACCAATGCAGATCAACAACATTGTCTTTCGCCAGGGAGACGGAGCTGTCAACGTGCAAGCCAAGTTCATGCAAGTGAAAGTGCAAGGTCTCTCCAACTACACCACGTCTTATGTGAAGTAAGTTTGGTTTTTATAAGTAATTGATAGAGTGTGGGTGGTGTGATGATAACAATAATGATAATAGTAATAATAATGATGATAATAATAGTGATGATTTTAACAATGATAATAATAGTGATAATAATAACAATAAAGATGATAGTAATAATAATAACAATAGAAATAATAGTTAAAATAATAACAATAATAATAATAGTAATAATAATAACAATGATGATAATTACGATGATAATAATGATAATAATAAAAATGACTATATTGATAATAATAAAGACGTTAATAATGATGATAATAGAAATGATAATAATGATAATGATAAGAATGATAATAATGATTATAATAAAAGTGACAGTAATGATAATAATAAAATGATAATAATGATAAAAACAAAAATGATAATAATGATAATAATAACAACAATCACAATAATGATGATACAGTGATAACAATGCCAGGAACTACAACTGATGAAAAACATAATTCACTTATTACCATGACTGTTACAGAATTATGCAAGTCACTTTGCAAACAATGCATATTTGTCAAAGTAATTTTGATAAGCTCGTGTTTTTTACAAGATGTTAATAACCTCTGTCGGATGTTATAGCAATTGCAGGAAGGTTTCTAAGCAGCTGTTGAAGTTATTAATGTGTTTGTGTTTGACTTTAAAGATGTTGCAGTCACGTTGGGTGTCAATCTCTTTTATTATTTTATTTTCTATGTTCATGGTTGTGTTTTGTAATTTATCTGTTTCTCTGGCACTTTCTCTTTTTCTTTCTTAATATGTTTGTTTGTATGTCTGTCTGGCTCTCACTTTCTTTCTCTCTCTCTCTCTCTCTCTATCTATCTATATATCTCTCTGTCTATCTATCTATATATATCTCTATCTATCTATCTATCTATCTCTTTCTCTCTCTATCTCTGTCTAATATATATATATATATATATTATCTTTCTGTCTATCTATCTATCCTCTTCTCTTTCTCTCTATCTATCTTCTCTCACTCTATCTATCTCTATCTCTCTCTCTTTCTAATCTCTCCTATCTACCTACTCCCTCTCCTTCTAATCCTTCTTTTCCTCTCATCTCCTCTTCTCCCTCTCCCCTCCTTCCATTCTCCCTCTCACCCTCCCTCCCCTCCCTTCCCCCTCCCTCCCCTCACCTCCTCCATTCCCTCCTCCAACCCCCCTCCCAACCTCCCTCCCTTCCCTCCACCCAACCCCCCCTCCCTCCCTCCACACCCCCATCCCTTCACCTTCCCTTCCCTCCCTCTCCACTCCACCCCCCTCCTTCCCTCCCCCCCCCCTCCCCTCAATCCCCTCCCACCTCCCTCCCCACCTCCAATCCTCCACTCCCCAACCCCACTCCTCCTCCAACCCCCCCCCCAATCCCTCCCATCCCTCCCCAATCCCTCCATCCTCCCTCCCAACCCCTCCCTCCTCCCTCCTCGCACCACTAACAACACCCCCCCCTTCTCCGCAGCGCCGACCCGCAGGCACTGACACTGTCCGTGGGTCTCATGGTGCCAGAACTCCGCGTGGCCGGACTCTATGACCTCAAGGGTCAGGTCATCGTCTTCCCCGTGACCGGATCCGGGACCTTCTGGACTAACCTCTGTGAGTTTTTTTTATTTTATTTTATCTATTATTTTTATCATTATCGTTGTTTGTGTAATTTTCTCTTTGATTTTTGTTATTCATTGTCTTTGTAAATGTGACATTCTATTTTTTTCTTTTTATGCTGTTTATTGTTATTATTATTTTTCTGATCATATTCGAGAAATTATCCTTTTTTATCATTAAGTGGTTTAGAGATCATCTGTTCAGTTATAATAAGTTCCATAATTGTTTGTCATTGAACGTATCTTCATAACCATTCAGAAGCCTTATTTTGATCTTCAAGACGACAAGTTTTATAATTTAATGTTTTTTTATCGATTATTTGATATGATTAAAACACCAGCTCCCACTCTACGGCACACAAACACCAACCCCCACTCCACATTCTCACAGACACCAACCCCCCCCTCCACCATCCTCCCCTCCACCTCCCTCCTCCACCATCCTCACAAACCCCCCACCCCACATCCTCCCCTCCACCTCCCTCCCTCCCATCCTCCACCTCCTCCATCCTCACAAACCCTAACTCCCACTCCACATCCTCACAAACACCAACCCCTCCACCTCCCTCCCATCCTCCTCCTCCACCCTCCTCACAAACACCTAACTCCCACTCCGCCTCCACTCCAGACAACATCGACGCCTCCACGACATCCTCACAAAACCCCCTTCCACCTCCCTCCCTCCCCAACCCCTCCCCCTCCACCTCCCTCCCTCCCCTCCCATCCTCACAAACACCTAACTCCCACTCCACCTCCACTCCAGACAACATCGACGCCTCCGGAGTGGGGAAGCTCAGCGTGCAGCAGGGACCGGACGGCCAGGAGCGGCTCCGGGTATCCGACACTCGCATCAACTTCATCCGGGACATTTCGCTCCACCTCAGCAACCTCTTCAATGGCGATCCTCTGCTGGGTATGTTGGGGGGGGGGGGGGTATTTTTGTGTGTTCCTCTGCTGGGTATGTGGGGGGGTGTTGGTTTATTTTTGTGTGTTTATCTCTCTTTCTTTCTCTCGTTCGTTATATATTTTCGTGGTTTGTTTATTTTCCCTGTTTATCTCTCTTTTCTTTTTCTTCTATATATATTTTTTCTAATATTTCTGGTATGCGTTTGGTTTGTTTATTTTCCTCTGTGTTTATCTTTCTTTCTTTTTTTTTTTATATTTCGTGGTTTGTTTTTTTTCTCTGTTTTATCTCTCTCTTTCTTTCTTTCTTTTTCTTCTTCTTTTCTATATTCGTTTCTAGCAATCTCTGCAATGGCGATAATCTCTTCTAGTTACGTTTGGTTTATTTATTTTCCCTGTGTTTATCGTTCCCTTTATATATTAATATATATATATATATATATTATATATATATATATATATATATATATATATATATAATATATATTTCGTTCCCCATCAACAAATCGTGAGAATGACGTTCTCTAAGTATCTTCCAGTCAACAGTAGCCTGTTTTATGCTTTGTCTTTTTTTTCTCTTTCATTAGACCCTCTTTCGGAAGGGTCCCACACAATGGCGTTCTTCCTCTGTCAACATCATCAGAATTGGTATCTTTGCAACAATTCCCTGTTTATCATTATTACCTTTGTATTTTACTTTTTTCATCATCGGTATTATTAGCATCTGTATATGTCTATCTATTTTTCTCACTCTCTCTCTCTTTCCTTCTATATATGTCTCTTTTTCACTCTCTCTTTCTCTTTCATTCTCCTCTCTTCTCTTTCTCTCTCTCTCTCTCTCTCCTCTCTCTCTCTTCTCTCTCTCTCTCTCTCTCTCTCTCTCTCTCTCTCTCTCTCTCTCTCTCTCTCTCTCTCTCTCTTATCCAGTATCTACCCACCCTTTTTCGTTATCTTTAGCTTTACATTTTTTTCTTCAATCATTATCATCTTCATTATCAGCAGCATCGATATCATCATTATTATCTTATCATCCTTTTCATTCATCATCGCCAACGTTATTCTCACCATCATCATCACCATCACCATCATCATCTCCATCACCATCACCACCCCCCATCCCTCTCTTCCCATTCCTTCACCCCCTCTCCTCCCCAACCCCCATCCCTCTCCTTCCCAACCCTCCCCTCCTTCCCCATCCCTCCACCTCCCTCTCTTCCCATCCCTCCCTCTCCTCCCCAAACCCCCATCCCTCTCTTTCCCAACCCCCCTCCCCTCCTTCCCCATCCCTCCACTCCTCTCTTCCCATCCCTCCCTCTCCTCCCCAACCCCCATCCCTTCATCATCATCACATCTCTACACCGCGGCCACTTACCATCACCGTTCCCCCACCATCACCCACATCACCATCATCACTCCCCCACCACCATCACCACTAACCCCCCTTCCCCCGTCCGCAGGTGAGACCGTGAACCACTTCCTGAACCAGAACAGCCAAGAGGTCCTTCGCGACGTCAAGCCCGAAGTGTCACGTCAGCTCAACGTCCTCATCCAGAGAGTGATGAACGACGCGCTCTCCCAGCTCCCCGTCAGCTCCTTCCTCATCACGAACTGAGAGAGCTTTTGGGTGCGAGAAGGAAGGAAGAGGGAAGAGAGGGAAGAGAGAAGAGAAGGAAGGGAGGGAAGAGGAGAGGAAGAGGGAGAGGAAGGAGAAAGGGGACACACGATGAGACTTTCTGGGGGTAAGGAGAAGACTGAAGGGGAAGGAAAGGAGAGGAGAGAAAGAGGAAGAGGAGAGAAAGGAAGGTAGAAGGAAGGGAAAGAAGGGGACGTAAGGGTAGGAAAAGAAAGGAAGGACAAGGAGAAAGAAAAAGGGGAAAAGAAAGGAAGGAAGGACAAGGAGAAGGAAGGGAGACTCTGTGTCTTACTCGCCCTCGACGTCCATGGCAAGAATCCTATTACATCCTTTTCAAAAGACTGTCACGAAAGGTAGACTCACCTATCCTTCCATAGGCGCTTCTACCACGCTTTAAGTATGAAGACAGCGGATGTATTTTTAAACATCATGATCATAAGTATGTGTGTGTATATATACGTATGTAAATCTATATGTATAGTTACACACATGCACGCAAATATATCATACACCGATTCCATACAGTATTCAGAACTGTGTTGTTCATGCATCAACCTTTCTTATGACAAACAAGTAGTTAAAACGTAGATGAGTAGTTAAGGTCCGTTGTTTTGTTACAAAAATCTACCTACGGAAATAAAATCAATAAAAAACAGACTGATGAATGACTGTGATAGCTGAATGTTCTTCCACTTCAATAAAGAAAAGTTAAAATCCTAATTGTGTTAAAACAAATACAAAATTTTACGCCTGATGAATTGACTTTTCTTGTTCTGACTGCTCGATGGCTTTAGAAAAAAGAATTAATGATACACAATCGCTTTGCTCAAGTTTGTAAGCATTTATCTCCCATTTCTAACCGAACTGAGTAATTTATTCACATTTAAATGTACTATAAATATCATATATAACTTTTTCTAATAGTAATCGTCACATCCACTGGCAGAGTATGATTATAAGGTGTAAAATAACTTCACTAAAAAAAAGAAGAAAATTACATTTCCAGATCTGTTGACGAATTCATATCTTTTTTATGTGTGAGCTAAACGTTAAAACGTTCCATGTCAGTTTGAAAGAAATGATGCTCTTATGACATTCAAAAGAAGTGCGTTAATTTGCATTTTGAGGAAATGAAAGATGAACACACAGTTCGTCTTGTGAATGAAAGAAAACATGACTCTACTTGTGCATTATAGTACATGAAAGAGCTAAGACGAATGGTTTTGCATGGACGGTTGTATGAAAGATTAGCAATATGATGTGAAAGTAAGAACAGAAACCCAAAAAGATTTAAAGGCGTGAATGCATAAATGCGTGATCAGTCTATGGGCATGTAACCGCGCATCATACATATTTTTCCGACGAAAATGAGTGCATACTATATATATATATATATATGTGTGTGTGTGTAAAGGACCTTGTCGTAGATATATTATATGTTAGAATATTGTTGCTGTACAAATAAAATAATTTTCGACAAAGTTGGTGTTTATGTGACCTGTATTTTCACTATGAGGGGTGCTCATGGAAGGTTTCCCCTGACTTCTCATGGGTGGGTGAGAGCAGGGGTGGGCAATTAATTTTCACAAGGAGCCACATGAAAAACCTGAATTGTGTCAGAGGACCACATCAACGATAACTTGAACTTAATTCTGCTCACCTTTCTTCCACTGTAAAATGCACTAAATTATATATTTAGTACATTATATATTTAATAGATTATATATTTAGTAAATATATATATTTGATAAATCATATATTTAATAATTTATATATTTAATTAATTATATATTTAGTCCCTGTCCGGCCCACGAGAGGTCTGGTGTAGAGGAATGAAATGTACAAATTCAATTAGTCCTGCCAAAAGAGACACATTTTCTCCCTTTTATGCAGTTGTGGACTCCTCGCTTTACTTCATGAACAGAAAGAGGTGAAAGTCAGATGGTGAAAGGTCGGGAAAATAAGGAGGATGAGGAAGGATGTAGCCACAAGACCGCGCTTCTATCTGGGGTATGTAAGAGTTCTGAACAGGGGCATTGTCCTGTAGGAGGCGGACACCTTTGGTCAACATTCTGCGCCTCTTGGTTTTGATAGCTTCCCGCAATTTCTGTAGCAGTCAAGTGTAGTAAGCTCCTGTAACTGTAGTACCTTTTGCCAGGAAATCCATCTTTACTCCATGCTGGTCCCAAAAGCCTGTGAGCATGACCTTGCCTGCTGAGGGCGTGACACGTGCCTTTTTGGGGTGTGGTGAGTCAAAGTGCTTCCATTGTCTTGACCTTTGCCTTAGTTTCTGGATCATGGTGATGGACCCAAGTTTCATCCTGCGTAAATAAGATGGCCAAAAAAGTCCTCCTGGGTTTCTTGGCACATGGCTGAAAGACCCTTGGAACAATAGACTCGTCCCTGCTTCAGGAAAGGTGTGAGTAGTTTGGGAATCCATCGAGCAGAGAACTATTGCACTTGCAGACGGTCATGGGTGATTTAGTCCACAGACCCAACACTTATCTTGGGATCTTGGGCTAGCTAACGAACAGTAATACGACAGTCTCCACTTTATGAATGGTGTTCTCATAAATGGCAGACTGGGGTCGTCCTGGGATAGGTGCCATTTCCACAGATTTCCGACCACACCTGAACTGACGATGTCAATGTTTACCAACGTCATATGATGGTCTTTTGTGGTGTGCGGCCATTCATGTATAATATCCTGATCACTGCTCGATTATCCACTGGTTCCATTTTCACACCTTTACTACACCTTCATCGCTGAAACAGAAAATGTTTTTTGAGTTAAGGACTAGATATCAAAACATGACCTGTAGATATGAGTATCTTGATATGAGTATCTTAATGTGTGTGAAATATGAGCTTGTTGGTCAGGGGAATTCTGTAATGAGATCCCCTAGTATGTGATTAATTACGTTCATGTGTATTGTGTTTTCTCTTTCTTTTTTCCCATTCGCTGACTCTCTCTCTCTCTCTCTCTCTCTCTCTCTCTCTCTCTCTCTCTCTCTCTCTCTCTCTCTCTCTCTCTCTCTCTCTCTCTGTCCTCTCTCTTCATTCTCTTTCCATCTCCCTCTCTCTTTTCCTCTACCTCTTCTCTCTTTTTCCTCTCCCATTCCCTTCTTCTCCCTCGCCCTTTTATCTATCCCTCTTGCTCTCTCTTTCCCTCTCCTCTACCTCTCCCTCTCTTTTCTCTCGCTTTCCCCTCCCTCTCCCTTTCCTTTCCTTGCCGCCTCTCCCTATCTTCCCTCTCTCCCCCTCTCTCTACTCTTCCTCTCGCTTCTATCTCCTCTCCCTCTCTCCATCTCTCTCCTCCTCCCTCTTCCTCTCTCTCTCCCCCTCCCTCTCCTCTCACCCCCCTCTCTTCCTCTCCCTCTCCCTCTCTCTATCTCTCTTCTCCCTCCCTGCTCCTCTCTCTCCTTCCCTCTTCCTCTCCCTCTCTTTCCCTTCTCCCCCTCCCTCTTCCTCTCTCTCCTCTCCCTCTCTTTCTCCCTCTCCTCTCTTTCCTTCTCTCCCTCTTTCCTCTCTCACATCAAGAAAATAATGAATATCTGCACATAGTCAAGGTAGGGTGAGTTAGTCATTAACTATTCTAATTCAGATAAGGATTATGCTTGAGCCACAGCACTCCGGTAATGGCGCTAATGTGGCATGCTGCTTAATGTCTGCGTGAAGATAAGCATTTGCAAACATTATATATAAACAGATAAATGGATATATATACACATCTCTCTGTCTGTCTGTCTGTTCTGTACTAAGCACATAGACATTCAAGATAGACAACAGACGTAGCAACAGACACATGCGCACACATACACACACGCACACACACATACACGCAACACTCACACACACACCACACATCACACACACAACACATACACACACACATCACTCACACGCAAACACACACACACACACACACACAACACACACACACACACAAACACACACACACACACAATCACCCCCCACACACACACACACACAATCACCCACCCGCACACACAAACACACACAACACACACAAACACACACACACACACACACACACACAAAACACCACCACCACACACACACAACAAACAAACAAACAATAATCCCCTCCTCATCTCTCGCCCTCAACGGACTAGTCAGTCTCCAGAATCATTTGGAAAAGGGAATTAAAACTTCGGATCAGCTGTGGAAGGGAAGAAGCAACTTCTGGATATTTCAACAATACCCGCCTTTGTGTACAGAACTTAATCCGAAAAGCGCCCGTGGAATTTTAGTTTTGTTCACAGGCATACACGTACATGGCAGAACGCGTATACACTCGTACACATGGACAAGTGCTTACGTGGATATTCATGTGTATTCATATATACTTGCGTCGGATTCACATCTATTGGGAGTCTGTATTTGAACGTTTTATTTTTATTTTCTCTCTCTTCTCTCTCTCTCTCTCTCTCTCTTCTTCTCTCTCTGTCTTCTCTCTCTCTCTCTCTCTCTCTCTCTCTCTATCTCTCATCTATCTATCTATCTCTCTATCTCTCTCTCTCTCTACCCATCCTTTTATTCATTCCGTTCACTCTATTCTCTTCTATCCATCTCTCCATCCTTCTATTCACTCCATTCTCTCTAATTACTATACATCTATCCATCCTCTATTCACTCCATTCTCTTCCATTCTATCCATCTATCCATCCTTCTGTTCATTCCGCACATTCCACCTTATTCTATCCATCTATCCATCATTCTGTTCATTCCATATCTTTCTATCCATCTTTCCAACCATTTCTTTAATTCCAATCCCTCTCTTTTCATCCTATCCACGACCACATTGGCGTTAACGAGGAAGGGGAGTAATTGAATGGAGTGTAAGGATGATAGAAGGAGTAAAGCGAGGAGGAGGAGGGAAGTGAAGGAGGAGGAAGAATGGAGTGAAATTATAATGGAGTGAGGGGAAGGGGAGGGGAGGGAGGCAGTTAAAACTTTGGAAAGAGGGAAAAGGAATGGAGGGGAAAAAGGGAGGGGAAGGAAGTGGGGGGCGGGAGTAAACTAAGAAAAATAATGGAAAGCGGATTGGAAGGGGAGGGGGAAGGGAGGGGCAAAAACTAACAAAAAAGGGAGTGTGGGATGGGGATGGGGGGTAAGGAGTAAGGGGGAAAAGTAAAACCCTGTTTAAACCGGGGAAAAGAGTGGGAGAAATTGGGGGTGAGGGGAAGGGGGAAGTTAAATGGTAAGAAAAGAAAGAGGGGTGAGGGGGATAGGAGGGGGATGTAGAAGGAAAGGGGGAAGAGGGTATAGGAATGGGATACAAGAAGGTGTAAAAGGAGTAATAGATAAAAGACGATTGAAAATATAGTGAAACATAATAAGATATTAATAAGCACGAAAAACACCACCACGACGACACACACAGGCACCGGGGAGACGCACACCGAGCGAACGGACACACAAAGCAGAGAACGGAGAGACGTGCAGTGGAAGAAAAAAGTCATCGAGCATGTTCCAGCGGGAGGAGGGAAGCAGGAGGAAGGGAACACTGGAGGAGAGGAGGAGTAGGAGAGGAAGGGGGCGGAAAAGAAGGGGCGGAAAAGAGAGAACCCGTAAAAAGGGACAAGCAGTTTGAAAGGATTAGGAGGCGGAAAAGGGAAAAGGGAGAACAGACGAGAGAG